TTGAGAACTCTTCTTCGTGTTGCGCCTTGAGGTCGGAGTCGAGCTTCCTCACGAGTCGTTCAGCAAGCTCTAGATCACGTTCGATTCTCTCAGGCGCAGAGAAGAGGTCCCAAAGTGCCTTCTTGCGAGGAGCGGCAGGAGGTTCATGAATGCCGACATGGCAGGTGAAATTGCCACGCTCTTCATCGATCACGGTCTTGCCGTTGAGAGCTTCGAGAGCCTTGTGAGCGGTAGACTGTGGGCCTTGGGCAGCTTCGGGCTTATCCTCAACAGCCCCTTCTTCGGCATCGTCATCGCGTCCATCACCACGGTCGTCGATGACCATTGGCTGCTCATCGCTTGGATTGAGAATGACCCAACCGATGCGGTGGCACTTCTTAAGTGGGTTAGGGTCGCTCATACTGAGCCACTTGAAGCCGCCAGGGCCTTCTCCTAAGTGCTCCTTGCAGAACTCCTCGACCTTCTCGCGGTTGACTGTGGGCGCAATGGTCTTGATGAGTAGCGTAGGCTGGAACGCAGTCTCATCGCGGATCTCGCCGCCTTTGCAAGGCAACAGATCGCCGACGCCCAGCACTTCGTTGGCAGCCGTTGTCTCGCCCTCTTCCTTTTCCACGATTCCTCCAGCACCGTTCGAATCGTTTTTGTAGATGCCTTCCAGCGTGAACTCGTCGAAGTAACCCTCGTCTATTTGTCTCTCCCACTCCTCATAGATGCCGTGGCGATATTGACGGAGCTTCTCCTTGAAGGCCAAGTCATAGTCTGGGTCGTAGCGCTCCTTGAACCACTCTTCGTTCTTATGCTTGTCTACAAACGTCTTCGCCATCTGGACTTGTAGCTTCTCCTTGTACTCGTCATACGCGGCCTGAATCTGTTCGCGCTCCTTGCCCCGTTCCTCTCGAGCCTCGCGCTCGCCTTTGAGACCTGGTTTGCGTCCACCGTTCTTTGCGCGCTCCTTCTCCTCCTTCATGAGCTGCTCCACACGCCACCACTCTGCAAAGTAGTTGAACCCGACCTGGTATTCGAGGTGCATGGGGTTCGGGACCGGGTTTGTGGTGAAGGTCGGCGCGAAGTTGTCCTGACCAGGCACGTACCGATCGATGCCTGCCTGCACGGGCGGAGGCGAGGAGCGTCGTCGGTTGCCATCTCGGCGGGGGCCGTCGTAGTCGCGCGCGCGATCAGGTTGGTATCGGTCGATGTTCTGAGGCGAGCGCGATCGACGCCTGCCTGCCCTACGGTCTCCGGAGCCTTTGTGACGCATGTTAGCTCAGTCTGATGTTTCAGAAGCGATTCAAGATGAGGTTCAGAAATGATGCCGGTCATGTCCAGGAGTCATACAGCGACGCCAAAGTACGCGCAATCGGTCTGTGCTAACAGCGCTTGGCGAGAGAGGCCCGAAGCAAACACGCGGCATAGTTTCGCGTGACAGTGAAAAGGAAAGTCCGTCACGTCTCAAAAAGGATATCTGGCTTACCTGGTGAGCGGCGTCTGTACGAATCCGCGGGCGGCCTGGAGTCCTCACGCGTGGCACTGCGAGCCGTCAGCATCGTACTTTGCGCACCGTCTTCTGCACCAACATACGTGTACGAGTCCATCGCTGCGGTATGCACGCGTGATAAGATGGTGAATGGTTATGAATATGTGGCGCGAAATCGAGATAGGCAGTCGTGTTAGGCGGCTCGGAGTGAGTGTAGTGCAGCGAGCCTGGGGGCAGCGCGCGTAGTCTTCGGTTGCTTTGACGCGCAATCTCGCCGGGAGTATGCGCTGGGTGGGAGTGGATGCTCGACAGGCAATCGGCGCGGGTAGCTGTTTGCCATGATGGCTCGGTCAGAGAGGGAACAAGTCAGGGACAAGGTGACGGAGAAGGAATGCGATTAGTAACGAGGAAGAAGAGGCGGGTAAGAAGTGACAAGAAGCCGACACGCCTGGTGCGATTGAGAGCACACGGGCAGCGCCGCAGGAAGATAAGGTCAGAGAGGCAGCTGGAGGGAGGCTGGGCGCAGGGCCACGGGGACGAAGCTGTCCGAGCTATCGAGACAGCTGTACAAGAGGAAGAAGGGGTACGAACAATGGGACAGCTGAAGGACGAGAAGGTGCACTCACGATGTGCTAAAGTGACTCCCGGGCAGAACGATGCCGGTGGAGAGGGCGATGGCAGAGAGAAGGGTGAGGTACGTCGCGGAGGGCTGGAGAGACCCGAACGACGGCTGAGACGGGGCTAGCGTTCCACGCGGAAAGTGGACCCGGCCTTCCACGCGTTGGCCGAGGCTGTGATTGGCGCTCCGAAAATATCACGAGATGCGGAGTGCAGGTACAGGACGCTTCCTCTTCTGGCGACGTCTTCTGTTGCGTAAGTGACATTGATCGACGGTTACACACAAACCTCATCACCAACCGCCATCATGACGAGCTACATCCCCTCTCTCACGCTTCCCAGCTTTGCCTTCGAGAACCCTGCAGTTGCTATCCTGCTACCTGTTTTGTGTGGAACGGCCACAGGATTTGCCATCAGCCGTAAGTCAGTGGTAGACTCGTACCGGAATGGTTTTCTGATTCCAAAACAGCAAGTGTATCTCAGACAGCATACCGAACGCTGAAGCAACCTCCACTACATCCTCCCGGTTATGTATTCGGACCAGTCTGGACAGCACTCTATGCCACCATGGGCTACACAGCCTATCGCGCGTACACTATTGGAGCGACGTCTGCTAACCCCAATACTGTTGCTCTGGCGAAGGTATGAAAATGCTATGCGCGATCTGCTAGTATCCGAGCTAACCCGGTGCAGCATGGAGCCACTCTTTACACTATCCAGCTCGCCTTGAATCTCGTGTGGACTCCTCTCTACTTTGGTCTCGGTCGTCCCATTCCCGCTTCAGTTGACATTCTCGCTCTCGGTGGAACTCTTGCCTACCTTATCAATATCTGGGGACAAGTGGACCCAGTTTGCGGATGGCTGCTCGCACCCTACCTAGGTTGGGTCAGCTTCGCAACATACCTCTGCGTAAGTACCATCACCATTCGACGTTCGTGAAATGCCAAAGGCTGATGCTGCAAACAGATTGGATCAGGTTACCTGAACAACTGGGACTTCAGGGCCATCTCGAAGAAAGATTAAGATATTCGTCGGTATCGACTAAGTCTCCAGAAAAGGTTACATCTCCACATCACTTGACAGTGTAACATAGATCCTCTTACGGGAGCTAAGTATACACATGTACTATCATATTGTCCAATAAATGTACATTACAATTCCTGGAGATACTGGTGCCCTCCCCCCTCCTTGACACTAACGTAACAAACTATTGTCATGATATTTGGCAAAGACGTTTCATCGAGTCCGAGGCCTCTCGGTTTCATTATCATGGTTTAGCCACTGCATATCTACTTTGCAAGTAATACAAAGTCTGCGCGGACTTAGCAAGCTTGCTATAGAGTGAGCCGGTGGAAGTGGTTGAGCACACAGAACTGGTCTGTAACGGAGAAAGAGACACAGGAAATATGAGCGAAAGACATTGAGCATGCGAAACAGACATCTGACAGGAAAGTGGTTGTACAGGATTTAAGCACTACACCAAGTCGTGACGTTTTACTCATACGTTCCGGGTTGCGGAGGCCTATAGGTCTGTGCACTTTTTCTGATTCATTCTTCACTATCGCCTCATTCTACGACTGCCTGATCCGTACCCCCTGGTTCTGGCATTTAGATTTCCAATCTCGCTCATTCCAGAGCCCTTCGACGGTCTCGACTACTCAACTTTAATATTGTAATACTATGTTACAAATCCAGTCGACACAACAACCACTTGAACGAATGGAGCAGGAAAACGATGGCCCAGAAGCTACAGCTGCACTCGCTGCCCTGTAGGTCATATCTCTTCTAGTATGGACTTCAGCTAACAGCTTCTAATAGCACTCTTCAGAATCAAGAGCAATGCGTTCTTCTCCGCCTTCCCCCAAAGCTTCGAAACGCAGTCTATCGGTACGTCTTTCAAGAAGACGACATAGAGATTTGCGCCCCAATTGGCGAGAATACCAACAGTGATCGTCACACACATTATCCTAGACAGAACCTACAGCTTCTCGGGACTTGCCGTCAAATCTATACCGAGGCCAGGCTACTTCCTTTCGCCTCGAATACATTCAAGGGTGGTCATTGGGCACTACGAAGGATTACAAGGCTTCTCAGTCGGGATCAAGCCGATGCCATATCGACTGTGTACATTGTGATCGATGACTATCACTTCAGTTTCGCCTTGGATGTGTCAAAAGACGGGAACTCATTCAAGAATTTATACGCGCCAGCCCGTTTGGTTTTACGTGATACTTTGCTATCGACGTTAGAGAGGCTTGCGATGCTACCGGAACTAAAGCAAATTCTTCTCTCTCCCTCGAAATACGAGGGCAACCCCTGGAAGCAAATCTGGAAAAACGGTTGGGCAGAGGATTGCAGACAGCTGGTAGTAGACGCATTGCGACAGCAGACAACTCGCGGGAAAAAGATAGAAATTTGTTCGCTGGTTGAAGAGTAACGGTATTGGATTTGGGTTTCTATATTGTGGCATCGAGACAGCCGATAGGCCACAGTAAGGAACTGGGCCGTTTGTGCTGTGATTTCATGTCGCCTCACCGACCCTATCGGCAGTCCGGGTTCGCATTTTGGCCACATCTAGAATCCATGAGCTGTTAAAAACCTGTTCAACTCTAATTCCAGTCTTTGCTGAGCGTCCATTACGCGAGGACAATGAATGATGAAGCAACCCATTTGTCGCATCTATGGATGCCAACCTTGGAATGATATCGGGGGGTTGCACCTGACCTACGTACCAAATCAGATGCTACCTGTGAAGCCGTGCATATCCGAGGCCTCTGGATGACTGTATTGTAGCCAGCGAGTAGTCGCTTTCGGCGTCTTGCTCCGAGTACGTGGAGTGAATGTACTCAACTGCAATACGAGCTCTTGTGGAACACGGGAAAACGTTTCTGGGTTGTATTATCCTGTCATGACACTGTTGGGAGTGAGTTACACCTTCCAGATTGTGAGCGTGGCAGCATTCAAAGATATCTCTTTTGGCGACGATGAGGTATGTCCTAGCACGTCAACACATCTAAACACTCCACGTATACTCAGTGAAACGTCCACGGGTTCGTTCGGGAATGCTCATTACGCAAGCACGTCATCTGGCCCTCACTTTCTCGCAATGGTTCGCGCCTTCCCTACACACCGTCCTTCTTGTTTACCGCCCCACTTTCCTCGCACATGCTCAAAAGTGATTACGCAGCCTTCTTAATCTTACCATCAGCACTCATAGCTCCCAGGGCTTTGTATTCGCCATGTACTCGTCCACTGAGGCTATGCCTGTTCCCGAACGTGTACTCTACTACGATCGCAGTGTTCTGCTCATGGAGCGTCTCGCAGCAATGTGAGTACTGGATATCGCATTTGTTGTACTGCTAGCTAACAAAGACACAGCTCACAGCGCAATCACCGAAAGTCACCCCTCCTTCGTCTTCCGGCAGAACTCCGCAACAAAATCTACAAATACGCTTTCCTCTCCCATCCAGTCCGCCCAACCCGTGAGCACAGAGAGTGGCCACACTGGGCATATCCAAGATCACAATTGAACCTACTGGAGACCTGCCGCCAGATCTACTTCGAAGCCAACCTCTTCCCGTTCGCCCTCAACGTTTTCGTCGGCTACGCAGAGCATGTCATCGAGCTGTTGTTGACGACTTTCACTCCTTCCCAAACCGACATTATATCCGATGTACGGCTATATGTTGACGCCTTCGGAGTGTACAGGGATGGCAAGATTCCAGAGGCCGGACTCAAGGCATGGTTCATTGAGGAACTGGGGGACCTGTGTCAGCTTGTCAGTCTGAAAGACGTAACACTGATTTGGTTTGGTAGTGACATTGAGGTTGTCAAGGAGCACTTGAATGCGACAGTGCTGGACGTCTTCAAGGAGGCGGGTCGAGGAGATATCAAGGTCGCGGTCCGGTACTTCGATTGAGGTGTCGTGTGTCTGAGTGCATGTTACATTTAGCTTCTACTGTATTACTTGTCGGAAATGAAACTCTTGTCATCCATTAATCCTAATCAGCCCCATAACGGAGGTGATTTGCCCTAAGCTGCTGTACCAGTGAGATCGCACTCTGGAGGTGTGCGCAGCGCTTGACACTATCATAAAGCAATTGGGTCGTATGCCTCCTGGGTGTGGTCTAGCTGGACGATAAAGAACATGATCGTTGAACATTCCGCTGTGACTGAATTACTTCAAATGAATTCTCCTTTGGGTGTAAAGAGAAGATGTTCAGCTAAAACTAAGCGTGCGAACACCGAAAGACTGTGGCGTCAGTTCCCTCCAGGGTGTGGGCGCAAACAGGCAGCACGTGACGTGGACCCTGCCAAGAGCTGCCGCAGCCTAACCGCTTGTATTATTCTTTGTTGCCCCACGCTCTGCTTTGGCAAAACCTCACCAACAACCGCCCGCCGAACGCCGAACCTCAAATCTCGCTGCAGTGGAAGGGGTGCGCATTACTAACAAGTGAAAGTGACAGATTTCCTGACCCGCCAGAGCTAACATGGCGCCGCTCGGTCCGCCTCCGTACACGGCCGAACAGCTCCAAGCGATAACCTCACAGGAGGAACGTATTCGCGCCCAGGCAGAGCTCACCAGTATGTGAAAGCCGAGTCGCAAGGTCAGAAATATACTTACGATCTACTTCTAGGCTACATTACGCGCGCCAGGAGAGAGAAGCAAGAGAGGGAAGAGCGCGAGAGGCTTCAGTCGAACGCTTATTCTGGCTCTGGTTACCGCACCACCTCCGGCAGCTTCAACCATTACACTCCTCCCTCCATTCCTTCCTACGCCCCCGTTCATAACCCCGTCTTCAATCCCGTCTACACCCCCGTCTCTAATACTTCCTACAACCCTCCGTACAACAAGTTCAACCAGCGCGGTGGCTATGGTAGAGGCAGAGGCCGTGGCGCCGTAGGCAGAGGCAGAGGCTACACACCCTACCACCCATACGCGCGTCCTCCCAATGCACCTATGTACACTGGATTCGCTACTGATTCCAATGGCACAAGTATCGTCACCCAACCACGCGAGGCCAAAGAGAACGAGGATCCAGCGCAGGCACCGGCGGCCAGCACCAGGTCCTCATCCAGAGATCACCAGCCGACCGAACCATCAAGACTTTGTGCCAACTTCACACATACAGGTATTTCGACGAAACGACATTTCGGGTCCTTTCCTCACCCATTGTTCGCCTCTAACTTTTGTCTAGGTCGGTGTTCCATCCCGGGTTGTCCTTTTGGTCATGATCCGGACACACAAACCGTATGCAAGTCGTTTCTCTTCAAAGGTGTTTGCTCCGACAGCAACTGTCAGCTATCCCATACTGCATCGTCGCACAACACGCCTACGTGCCAGCATTTTCAGGCAGGTCGATGCACCAAAGAAGACTGCCGCTTTGCTCATGTTCGTGTCAATCCATCTGCACCGAACTGCGAAGCTTTTGGACGCTTGGGCTACTGCCAGAAAGGAGACACCTGTGCCGAGTTGCATGCATATGAGTGTCCCACCTTTGCCAACACGGGAGAGTGTTCCTACACTGGTAGGTATCACTATCCACACGTTCGTCTCGCATCTCGCATGAGGAAGACCACTCGTCTGTCCTCTCCAGTCCAGTCCCCGCCTAACTCCCCGGTTCGTTCTCCGGCTCATTCTCCTTCGTCACACACCCCTGCTACTTCGGACGCTCCAGAGGATGATATGGATACTGCCGAGGATGCTCATGAGTGGATGATGCCGAAGGCTGGAACTTCTCCGAAGCCACAGCAGTTCACACAACAGGCGGACTTCGTTGCCTTTGAGATCGACGACGAGTAGCATGGCCCACTCACTGGATTCGTGACATCCGGACATAGTATGTGCCCCTCTGCTCAGCTTCCATTTCGGTCCTTCCTAATTTGAGGTTTCCAAAGTTTCGAACCCGTGGTTTTTTCCGACCTGGTAGGTAATCTCTGGAACCTTTCTAGCTTGTCTTGACTCTTGAAGGTCCAGAGCTATTCATGGCGTTCAGGGTTCTTTCGATGATACCCCCTCTTACGATTTCCTACCTCTCTTGTCTTTTCCTTGTTTCTAATCGAGCGAAATCTCTCGTTCCTGCTGCAAGTGTATCACACGACCCAATGCGACGTTGTACGCTTGGCGGATTTTGCACAGAGGCTCACGAAGTCGCTGCTGGCTTGCTGATGGATACAGTCGTCCCATGAAGGACATGTACGTGAAAGATCACAGAAGAAGAAAACGTGTAAAAAAAATGAAGAACTTAAGATAAATCTCTTCCGTCTGCTGTGTGATGCCATAGACTGCTACACGTAGCCAGTCGCCTTCTTCAACAGGCACTAATTAATGCTTCGACGCGGGCATCAGTAGCGTCAGGTACCATGATTCCTAGTGTGAGACGGGCTATTAGGCTTGACACCCTCATAGAAAATGTTCCCTCTTCATTGGAATGTCTTGTATGTGTTCGTGATAATGGTCTCACCACATACGTATGTCTCGTACCGCAGTATAACTACGAAATTGTGATTGCTGCGGTTCGTGGCGCTGCGTCTGACATATGAGGCGCGCAGTGGAGGCTGAGACGGGCTGCGGCTACCGCTTGGCCCTCGTCCTACAGTCAATCGTGCCTTACAATTCGACAGCCCGCGCCGGCAGGACCATGAGCGCTTTCACCTTTGCGATGAATCTACGGAGATATAGGACCACCCTCAGAATTGAATAATACCCGCCGCACGACGCTCGCTTTCCGTTGCGTGAAGTTACCCTTGGATATTGTTAGGTCTCGAGCCGCGTACCCCTTGCCTACGCTGGCAACGCGAAACTCGACGCGACAGCTCCTTTGCGCACCACCATGGCGCTCAAAGACTTGCTGAAGAAGAAGGACAAGATTAGGGATGAGGGCGCAACTCCTACGTCACCCACGGGCCCTACGCTGTCTCCCGATGTCCCAGAGTTCCAGTTCTTCCGCACCACGACTTCGACGCAAGAGACCATCGAGCCGCCCAGCTTCCCCGGCGATCCCACGCGCGAGTCTCCTCTATTGTCGCCGACGTCGCGCGGCAAGTTTGGCCGATTCAGAAGTCGCAGTAGCGCTTCCTCTCAGGGATCGCAAGCAGCTGGTGGGGAGCAGAAGCATGACAAACTGGCGGAGCGGTTGCACTTTGGACGGAGCAGGTCGAGCAGCTCAATAAACGTGCCGGACAATCTGCCAGAAGTCGGAGGAGACGGCGTCGCACGAACAGAGGAGGAAGAGGCAAAGTGGGAGACGAGGGCTACGGTGCTGGTCACACATTCGCAATACGGATCTAGTCAGCCCAATACACCAAGCCACGAGTCTGCGAATCCAATGTCACATGGACGACCGACGAGCGCAAGGAGTCGTAGTGGGACTGTCGGTGCGCCTGCGGACGAGGTATGCATAACTCTGGGAAAGGGCAAGAATTGGTCTAAGCTTTGCATAGGAGACGATCCAAGAGGCCATCCGTCTGCATGAGAGTAGTAGTGAGTAGTTACACGAGGTGGGTTTTCATGATGAAGCTGACAGGATGACCAGATCTTGAGGCCTCAACAGCGCTCTTCGGCAGACTCGCAGAACCAACGGGTGCGAACAATGCTTTAGCGCAGGTTCTCTACGGTCTCGCATTACGGTAGGTTCAGCCTCACTGATCGCAGCCTAATATCACCAGAGCATACCTGGATGTTGCCCTGGATGTTGCCCAAGGCAGTACTGACTAGAACATAGCCATGGCTGGGGATGTGAGCCTGACCAGGAACAAGCTGTCCAATACCTGTCCATGGCAGCGGCGAACAGCGCTGAGGTTGAGAAACTCGCCCTCGGAGCCGGCATGAAGAAAGGCGGTGCAGCCAAAGGGGAGCTCGTGCTGGCCATGTACGAACTCGCCAACTGCTTCCGCAATGGCTGGGGTATCAAGAAAGATCCCGCAGCCGCAAAGCAATACTACGAGACCGCCGCCAATCTAGGTGACACAGATGCGATGAACGAGGTAGCCTGGTGCTATACCGAGGGGTTTGGAACGAAGAAGGATAAGGTAAGCAAGCCGTGTCGTCTCTCCTCAGCCCAACTGTGGCCGTCCTGCAGTGCACGCCTGCGTCACCGGTCAATGTCGACTCGTTTAGAGGTTCATGCGATAGCGACGCGAACGGTCAGCCCGGAGGTCTTGTACAGCCTCGACCTCAGCCATCACGCGCAATATGCACTGAGACACGACTTCCCCTCGTTATCCCGCCTCATTGTTTGGGCAGCATTGATTGTATTCGGATTAAGCGGCAGGTATGCTAACTGCGCCTCGCCAGTTCAAAGCGGCTCAGTTTCTGCGCCTCGCGGAATCCAAAGGGAACAAGACGTTAGGCAACACATGGTAAGCCCCATAGATTCTTTCCTTCATCCCCTTCTGTATCGAGCACGAAGAGCGAGAATATGCCGGACCGAGGACCACCTTGACGCCGTGTGGATGGAGCACATGGTGGTCACCACGAGCAGCCATCACGACCTTCATCCGCGCGATCCCGTTCCAGCCGGTGTTGCATCCTCAATCAATCCTCAACACCAAGCCACCATAGCAACCAGACAGGATCCAACAATCCAACGCACAGCGCTACTGTCCGCATCGGCCGACCGGTTTCAACGCGCATCTGCCAAGCATAATCGATTGGCCCTCGATGCACCGTTTTGAACAGTCCTGCTCGCTTAGTCGATGCGGACGCTGGACGGCCCTCGCCCTCACCCGCAGCACGACCTGTCACACTTACTGCCAGTTCCCCGCTACGCACACATGATGGCATTCGCAAAGAAAAACTTGCCCAGTAGCACATGTCCCGTTTGGCACAAGCCTCGCTCTCCCGTTCCAATAATGGATAGTGGCATGCCTCCAGACCCGTTGCGCTGGGTGCATAGTACACACAAGCTTGTCTACGGG